CACACACACACACACACACACACACACACACACACACACACACACACAGTCGAATGATGTGGTGGAAACCGCAGCATACCTTCGTATCGAGAAGTACAGCACAGAGGACCTGAGTATTAATCATCGCCTGGCGGAGATTGTCCAACGTGCCTTGGTGATACTCGTGCGATCCATGAGAAAAATTAAACCGAGCAACGTTCATCCCCGCCTTCAGCAGCTTCTCCATTATCGGCACATCCCTCGATTTCGGTCCCAGCGTGCAAATAATCTTCGTCTTCGCGATGGGATGAGGAGCATCCCCGAGAACGCTGTCCACGTCCAACGTCGCCATATCCGATCTCTCTCTCTCTCTCTCTCTCTCTCTCTCTCTCTCTCTCTCTCTCTCTCTCTCTCTCTCTCCCTGGTTCTGGAGGCGGGCGGGGTTTGTTTCCCGCCTCCACTCAGCGTTGCGGAGATTGAAGACGAGGGATCGTGCGGAGATTGAGGACAAAAGAGACTGCCACTATCGCAGCCAGCACCGCCTGTGCCTGATGACCTGCAGAACCGGGAGGACACCACGATGACAAAACGGAGCCTCTGGCCAGCCCGGTGAGCGTCGGCACGTGGCGAGATAAAAACTCGCCCTAAACAAGTCGAAAACCCGAGGTATTGACGGTGCGGAGTCGTAAACGTGGTTCGTGTTTCGAAGTGGACGAGTCCGAAGAGGAGAGGATTCTACTACCGCATGGTCGGCCCGGGCAACGCGCAATTTCAGCAGCGGGTCCAAGGCTTTGGGCCTCCAGCCTAGAGACAGACCATGTTACTGGGCTTTGGCGTGGGACGCACCGTCGGGTGGGGGGTTTGTCTGTGCAACTGCGCCCTACGGACGCGAATATTCAGTGCATATCCAAGAGCCTAGCTCAGTGGGTACACCCATGAACTGTTGAAATACATGCCTGTGTTCGAATCCATGTGATGGAACTTGTTGAGTAACTAAATAATTTCTCAATTGCCAAATAATTTCTGTACCCCCAAATGATTTCTGGGGCCGCTCAGCTCAATGATGCCGTCGGCCTTTCGATAAAAAGAAGGGAAAAAAGGAATTTCAGTGCATCTTCAATTTTGGAGAACCCCACCTTGCACTACGGTCTCAGGGCATACTCCCACTGCGACCACAAATCCGCAGAATATGGGAAGGGCCAATTTGGGATTTTTGGTCACACTCCTTCACAATTATTATTATTACTAATACTAATAGGACAAGGCCGCCGTCTTGTGGAGAAATGGGGATTTGGGGCTTCGCCCGTCACGTAGAGGCACCCCTCACAGGGTGTCTAAACTCTCTGAGTTTCGACAGCTGTCAGAAGAAAATTGAAAGTCGGCGGTCCACAGTTTAGCCCCCTTTCACTACACAGGCTGTGGAGGGGCTAGGTTTTTGGTCATGGCCAAATGGACTCCGCCTTTCGACAGGGCACGGCTGTCACGGAACAGTCCCTGAAACTGAAAATGCAAATTCGAATGCGGTTCTCGAAAGGCAGGTGGGGCACTTTGGCGGGAGAAAAGGAATGGGGGAGGGTGGCTGAGAGCGGACCATTCTGACACCTGTCAAAAAAATTTGAGCCGCAATTCTTCGAAAGTCTTGTGTGGCGATGAAAAATTGCCGAAAACCTAGTTTTCGACAGCCTGTGTGGCGAGCCTCATAGAGCAGCTGTAATTTCTGTCAATCTCCCTGGGAACTTCGGTGAACGAATTTTGCCAAATTTTGAAGAAAATTGGAAATTTTTAAAAGAGCATTTGCAGTCACCTGTGGAGGTGACCGCAAGGTGACCGCGAAATCCCTTGCCGCGCGGCTTCCCAGGCTGCTGACAAATGGGCACAAAATAGGAGATCTGTGTGACCGCGAGTCTACCCTTTGTTTTGCCAAATTTGGGATTTTATGTCCTAGTGTGAGTATGCCCTCAGACTTTCTCGGAGCCAAGCAAGAGGACCTCGCTCCACTATTCTGGAGATGTGCAAAAAGAGAGTGAATCTTCCGCTAGAACATGGAAAGATACACCACAATTACTTTTCTCTTTTGTGAATGTAGAGATGTAGCGGACCTCGGGTTGGCCTGTGAGACCAGCCCCTTGGCCTGTTCTCACAGGCCTGTGTTATATTCGGGGTAGGCCAGTCCAGGCCGGTACCTCTGTCGGTACCAGCCAGTCCAGTCCAGTCCCGTCAGTCCGCTGGGGTATACCCCAGCCATTGTCTGTTTTCAGTCTCATTCCTCACTTGCACATTTTGGAGTACGTGCGTTGTAGTCTTGCGTGGGGAGCTGCGTTCTGCCATCTTGCTCCCCCTTCTTCCTCCATCTCCATCTCTGTCACTAGCGGAGCACCACACCTGGTGGGTCCGCTACATTGGTATCGGAGCGGGAACGGTCCCCGCCCCCACCCACCACACCGCACAGCAGGGAAATACGCCAAAACCCGACATTTGGGTTTTCGGCTGTTTTTGGGGCGTTTTCGGGCAAAAGCGGGAAAAACCACGAAAAAAGGTGTTGCAGCAGGAGAGCTCCACGTGGCGAAAAAAGAAAGTTGCATCACGACGCAAGGCCAAGGCCGCTGCATGCGCATGCGCGCCCACGCTGCCCCGCCCCGCCCCGCCCCGCTCCGCTCCCGGATTTATATTATCAAAATTTGAGATGCAATTGCTGCTGGGGTTTGAACCCAGGCACCTGCCGAGCCATGCGCATGCGTAAGCAACCTCATAACACACTTGCCACAATGTGTCCATAGCTTTGTAGCACGGCATACTCATGTTGAAGAGGTGCCGTGCTAGCTATTTACCCCCCCCCCCCGTGGCTGCTGCTGCCTGTGCACGTGGCCATCTCCACGGCCACGTGGCTGAAGACCCCCCTGCTTAGGGGGCTGCTCTACAGTGGAGAAGGCCTGCTCACACAGCAGACCCTACATCTACACATCTGCAGAAGTGCTGCTGGGGGCTGATCAAGATCTCAGCCCCCTCTCTCCTCCAACTGGCTGCTGCAGCAAAGACCAAGACCCTCCTGGTCTTGGTGTACCTTGTGCCCTTGGAGACACCAAGGGCCAGGTATCACTCCCTTCTCCCCTCTCCCTCTACTAACCCACTCTCCCTACCTCTCCTCGCTCCTCTTACTCACCCCTTCTCTTTCCCCCACCTTCCACTGCATCTTTTCTCTCCTCCTTTTATCTTCCCCACCCCACCTTTCTCCCAACACCCA